CAAATAATGTAATTTCCTACAAAGACAAAGTCAACTTTCTGCAAAATAAAACACCACAAAACAGTCACTCCAAAGGGGTGGGATCAAATCAGGGGTGGACATATGAAGAGGAGAAGAGGAGAATGCAGTCACACATCCAATATATATATATATATATATATATACTTCAAAATGAAAAGATGGAAGAGGTGGAAAGGGGCGGGATGAGTGAAACATTAAAAGGGATAAAATTGATCAAGTTATGTATGGTATTCATAAACTTCTTTGTTAAAAAGAAACTCCACTTTACAATGATTTAGACAATAGAAATTTTAAAAATAAAAATGAAATAAAATAAGATTTTATATGTGTTTTGATGTTTACGTGTACATATATACATATATATAATGTACTCTTTTTTAAAGCACAAGAAATAACATCTGTCAACAACATCCCTTCTTAAAACCATTAAATACAATTTTGATTATCCCATATTCACAAACATATATTCAGTATGTTGGTTATGTGAAATCTGTTACATCTCCATTGACCTTCTTTCTACGCCACAAGCCATGACCTGTATTTCATTTCTGCCATTCATTTTGTTTAATATTTTTGTGCCAATACTATGGCTTGAACTTGGGGCCTGAGTGATATTCCTTTGCAACTTTGTGGACTATGCAGATTCTTCCAATCTGATGCACACCCATTTGTCAATGCTTTCTTGAGGACCATGATAGGGAGTTACTATAGAATGTGCCCAATCTCCAGCCCTTCTTTGCTCTGAGTATTTCTACGATAGTATCTTGCTTTTGCTCTATGTCGATGCCTGGGCTCTAGTCTTTCTATTGTTGCTTGCTGCCACAACTGGAATGACAGGCATATGTCTCAATTTCCAGCTTCTTCTATTTATACAAAATCTCAGGATCTTGTGTTTAGCCTGGGCTGGCTTGGAATCACAATCTTCCTGATCTCAGCCATCCTCCTCAGCACACTCACATCAGCTTACATCCATATACACCTACACAGACACACAGACACAGATATATATACACACAAACAAACACACACAAAAATACCTTAAGAAGGTCTCATGAAAGTTGTGCCTAAGCTGTTTGTGAACTGTGATCCCAGTCTCAGCCAGGTAGTATGTAGCACTAAAGTCATGAGTCTCAATGCCTCCCTCAGTTCTTTAGTGTGCACAGACAACCCAAGAACTTTACCTGAGCCACCGTCTAGGGCATATTTATCAAGTTTTGCTCTTCTGTCTTAAGCTACTGCATTACTCCTTAGAAAATCTTTACCTCTGTCTATTGCTTCAAGTGTTTCCCTTATTTATCTATGTAGTTTCATATTTGAAGCTCTTAAGTGGAGGACTCTAATGGAATGACAGGGAACTATTTCCAGTCTTCAACAAGTGGCAATGCAGTTTCACAAACAAATTTTGTAACAGAAGCAATCTTGTGTCCACTATATGTAATTGGCCATGTTGTCAACAATCAGTTAACTGGATTGTTCTGAATCATCTCTTATGTTTACTGGTTTCCATATGTTCTTGGAACCAGTGTCAATGTGATTTTCTTTCAGTGGTTGTGTTTTATAGTTTGAAATCAGGTTTCCCATATTTTCCAGCATTGTAAATTTTCCTTATGATTTTGTTTTTTCATTGTGTGAATCCAAGTAAATTTTAAAAGATTATTTTTTGCCTCGGACAACCTTGGAATCTGGAAAGGAAATGAACTAGCAAGTTTCTTTGTAAATTGGGCATTTCAATAATATTCATTCTCACCCAGAAAAATGGGAAGTACTTCCTGTTCTAGTCTTTTCTCTGATTCTTTCTTCTACATCCTCTAGTTTTCAAGTCTTATAGTGGATTTTTATGCTGTAGATTTAATTTCCCTTAGACATCTTTGGAGGCTGTGGTAGACAAGTGTATACAGAGGTGTTTTTCTTCATTAGTGAGTTTGTGTTGGTGGAAAGCCTTCTGCTTGTATCTTTATGGCATTGAACCTGACATATCATTTACAAAAAGAGGATGTTTACCTGGATATGGTGTCTGTGAATCGATCCTCTAAGTACAATACCCTCATAATTTTAGTTGACAATTCAGAGACATAGACCTTTTGGCCACTTCACCATTCAAATGACATGATATCATCCCATGCAATCCAGTTGCATCATCCCAAATAACTTTCATGCAAATAGTCTAGACACAGATTTTGGACACACTCTAACCAAGATAACTCCATCTCTGGGGACTCACTAAATTTGTTCTTAGATGAAATCACAGCACCTGCAGTGAAGAAGGCAATTCTGAAAACATGTTTTCTAACTCATGTTTTTCTTCCTGATGTAAGGCTACAAATGCAGAGCCCCTGGGAATACTCTTATACATTACTTCTGGGGACTAACAAGAGGCTTTGATTAGAGGTGAGTTATAGAGTAGATCTCTGTCAATAAAAAGATACATATGCACATATACATAACCAAAACTGTGGTCTCACTTCCTGCCAGCTTTTCTGCTTGGCAGAGGATTCAAGGATGTGCCCTTTAGCTTTCGTACTCCTCCTTCTCTATCTTCCTCTCCCTGTCAGGTCCTTGGCTAGCACTAGCTGCTTTTCAACAATGAAGCACAGAGCACACATGCATGGAGATGTGATGATCACTGGGTTTTTCCCTCTCTACACTTTGGGAGTAGATCACAGGAACAGCCATGCTTCCAGGCAAGAAGAGAACAAGATGTAAGTACTTTCATATTTTATTTCCATTACTGTTTTATTCTGAGGATGGTCAATGGGTGAGGAAACTCAGGTTGCACACATCAGTGATCTCTGTCTCATCTACACTGACCTTTTTCACTATTGCATCCTGAGCAGCTAAGTTTTATTATGTTGTCTTACATCTCCTTTTGACTGATTTTCTGCTTGCTGATAGGAGAGGACTCCATTTAGTTCCATATAGCTTCTTCTTTCCAGGTCTGTAATTTCTGTTTACTCCAGGATCCCAGTATCTCTTCCACTTCAGTTGTCACTGTGGAATATGTAGTGATGTAATTACAATCAACCTGAGTCACTGGCATGAGTTCTGTATTAAAAGGCTGCCACTTCATTTCCTTATCCCTTATACCAGTGGTCTGAGAACTTTTCTTTAGTAACATGTATCTTTTGCGAATGTTAATAAAATTTCTTATGGTGGCTTATGCCTGTAATCCTAATTACTCATGGAATTGATTTCTGAGGATGCGAGGTTTGAAATCAGCCCAAGCGGGAAAATCTATGTGACTTTTTAAATTGTGTCTATGTGACTTTTATCTCCAATTAAACAGCCAAATGCTGGAAATGATTTTGTGTCTCAAGTGATAGTGTGTGAGCCTTTAGCAAAAAAGCACAAGAACCGTGCCTAGGCACTGATTTCTTGCCCTAGAACTAGTGTGTACATGTGCATATGTACAAACACACACACAGTTACATACATATACATTCTTTGTACACACAAGCAGTTACTTTTACAACTTAAGCTTTGTGGCATTGCTTCATGTCAAATAGGCTCCACAACACAGGTATTACCAGGAAGATCAGTATTATGAATGATTTCCTGTGGAGGCATTTACCTGCCCAAGTTAAATTCTATAGCTAGGATTGCAGGTATTATCCACCAGTAGAGATAATTTTAATTTCTTGAAGAATCTCTAAGCTTTAATTATTGTATACCATTACGAAGACTGTAATTTTTCTCTGGTTTAATAAATAACTAATGGGTGTCATGAATACCCAAATGATCGAATATCAGTTTTCTGTTGTGATTGCCTAATTTTTACTTGTCTGTTCCTTGATTGGATTTTTTCTTTCCTAATATTTAATTCTTAGAACTTTTCCCCTACATTATTCATCCTCTGTGAGATGTATAGCTAGCAAGATGTTTAACTGCTCATTTGGCTTTCCCACCATTTCTTTCATTGTGCTGAAGCTTTTCAATTGGATAAGCACAGTTACTGTACAATTCCAGTGCTTGGGTGGAAGTTATGGCCTTGTAAATGCAACAAAGTATTCTCACATTTAATCAAACCCAGAGAATATTTCTTCCTATTCTTTTATGAGCTATTGACTTTTGTTGAAGTTACCTATGTATTTATATTTCCTCTCATTTTCACTATTACTTGTAAAGTTCAATTCTCTATTAAGAACTAATCAATTTTGAAATTAAAAATAGATGGTCTAGTTTAAGTGTTTCACACAGGCATGCCTGGTCTTACAATGCCACCGCTTGCTAAGGGTATCATGTTTGGGCATGTGTTATTTGACACCTTCTCCAACCATCAGATATCTATTGTTTACAATTACTTTATGGTCTTATATTTCTTTGATACATGTAGCCGTTATTATCAGAATGTTTTCTGCTTTTATAATTATTACAACAGGCATAAGGATGATTTCATGTTGTTCTTGTGTCTTAAAATAACTCTGAATTATGGAGAATTTTCTTATTCATAAAATTCAATTTTGCCATTTTTCTGTAAAGGAAGTGATAGGAATTTTTATATAGACTGAATCTTCTATGGATGTTTTTTCAGAAATACAGCTATTTATACTATAGTGGTTCTGGCATGCAGTATAATGGAAGGTGTGGATTCATATGTGGTATATTATGATTTAACCATTTTATGGTTAGCTAATTTTACTTCTGTTCTATCACCCTGTTTTTCTTGTAGAACCTCCTTTTTGTTTTATGGATTATTGGCATTTTGTTTTTAGTCTCTAATTCTTTTTCTTCTACTTTCATTCTTTCTACTAATATTGGGTTTGTTTCTCTAGTTGCTTAAGATTCAGCACAGATTCTTTAGTACAGCATGTGTACTCCTGATTTCATCAAAGTGTTACAGTTTCAATTCTTTGCTCTTTTTCTATATCTACAGATTCTGATATTCTGTTTTCATTTATATTTGTTCCAAAGATCAGCAAACTTCTTGTATAGTTTTATATATATACAGTTATGTACATGTTCTTTATATATTATATATAATATATATTGTATTTGTAATATATATTACATAATATATATACCCTTACCAGTAAATTTAATACATTTTCAAATATTATTTTCTTTATATAATTGTACAGAGTAGTTGTACAGAGCAGTTAATGAATACAGTGTGTCTTGAGCAATGTCACACCTTTGAAGAGTCTCACCCACCACAAGCCCATCCCTCAATTTTCTTAAATGTATATTTTGTCTTGGATGTTTGCCATTTACCAAAGCAATACAATGCATACTTAGCTTTCTTTTACTCATTTTCCACATCCATGCTTCTATTCCTGTGCATTTGGCCTCCCACAACCCACCAAGTACTCATTTTGTTGGCCTTTGTCTTTATCTTGCTAAGGAATTATATTATTTGTGCTTCCCATAGATTCTATTATATTTTGGTTAATTCATTTATAATTCCTTGGGTGCAATCCAGTTTGCTTACTTTTAGATGTATAGGACACATACTAGTTCCCATTAAGGAGGGAAATCATGCAACCTGTGCTTCTCTGGGTCTGGATTTTTCACTTAATGTAATCTTCTCCTAGTCATTCCATTTCTTTATGAATGGTTCAGTGTCATTCTTTCTAATGGATGGAAAGCATTTCACTGTGTATGTATATAGAGGCATCTGGGATGATTCCATATCTTGGCTATGGTAAATAAAGCTGCAATAAACGTAATTGTATTGGTAGATTAAGGTATCCTTGTTCATGCTCAGTTGGATACAGGGTTAGAAGTGATTTGGATTGTCATAAGGTAGTTCTATGCTTGCTGTTTTAAGGTCCTTCCATACTGCTTTCCAGACTGGGTGAACAAATTTTGAGTCCCACAACTAATATAATAGAGTTCCCTTTTGACCACTTAATTGCCAGCATTTCTTATTGTTTCCTTGATAATGGCCATTCTAAATGGGGTGAGGTGCAATCCCAATTTGGTCTTGTTTTGTGTTTCCTTTATGGCAAGAGGTGTTGAATATTTTTTCATGTGTCTATTGGTCATTTTTATCTCTTGTTCTGAGATGTTTCTCTTCAGTCATTAGCTCTCTTGATAGTTGGGATGTTGAATCTTGGACGAATCAACATTTTGTGATCCACATATATTTTTGATATGGGAACTTTCTCTGATGGATACCTGGTAAAAAAATATCCTGTTCTGTGGTCTTTCCGTTGTTACCTATGTGGTTTGCAGAGCAGAAAATTTTGTGTTTGGTATAGTCCCATTTATCAGTCATTGTAAATTTTATTTTTTCAGATTCAGGAATTTCACTTAGAAAATATTTAATCTGTTTTGAAGGGCCCTCCCCTTCTCTGAAAAAGTTTGATGTTTTCTGGCTTTACATTGTGTTCTTGGATACAGTTTAAATTGAGTTGGTGTAAGGTGAGGAATAAATATCTAGGTTCAATTTCCTGCACATGGATGTCTAGTATTGCCAGCATCATTCTTTATGCCTATATTTTTGGCCCCTTTATCAAATATTAGATGGCTATATGTCTTTGAGATCATTTCATGGTCTTCTGTTCCATTGCTTCTCTGGCTTGTCTTTTTGTCATGCTGTTTTCATTACTATGCTGCTCTAATAGAGCTTGAAGTTCAGTATTGTCATTTGTCGAACACTTTTCTGACCACTAAGAATAGCTTTGCTTTTCATGGTCTTTTCTAATTCCCTTTGAGTTTTGGATTGCTTTCTCTGTCTCTGAATAATTTTGTTTAGATTTTTGGATATTGCATTGAATGTGTAAATTACTTTGGACAGATTTTCCATTTACACAATACTAATTTTTCCAGCCCAAGAGCACAGAATATCTTCCTATCTTCTTAAATCCTCCTTGCTATCCTTTTTCAAATTGTTAGAATTTTCATTAGAATGATCTGTCCAGTATTTGTTCACTCCCAGTTATTTTATACTGTTGAGACAATTGCAAATGGGGTGTTATTTTAATTTCAGCCTTGAAATTAGTCAATGGCAAAGAGAAAAGTAATTCATTTTTGTGGGTTGATTTTGAACCTGGCTATTTTGTCAAAGTTGAGGATCAATTTTAGTAGCAACAAAAGAGGAGATTTTGGATTCCCTTAAGTACATGATCATGCCATCTATATAAAGGGATGGTTGTACTCATCCTTCCCTATTTGGTTCACCAAATGCTTTACCCCTGCATACTGCTCTTGCTACAAACTTTAATACTATATTGAAGAGTAATAAAGAGAGTGGACATCCTTGTTTCCTGAATTTAGAGTAAATATCTTTAGTTGTTCACCATTAAGCATCAAACTGGCTGATGATTGTTCATATACAGTCTTTCTTACATTAAGGAATGTTCCAAAGATTCCTAGCTTCTCCAGACCTTTCATCATGAAGGAGTATGGATATCGTTAAACATTTTTTCTGCTTCCTTTGAGTTAATCATACAGCTTTTGCCCTTGCTTCTGCTGATGTGCTATAATATGTTAATTGACTTGCATATGTTAAACCAGGTTTGCATCCCTGGCATGCGTCCCCTCAATCATAACATATGATTTTCTGCATCAGTTGTTGGGTTCTATTTGCCTGTATTTTGTTGAAAGGTATTTTATTAAGGTTAATCGAGGAGAAAGATACAGAGTTGTTTTTTCTCAGTGTGGCCTTCTCTTGTTTGTGGCCTTCTCTTGAGTGTAATTTTGGGTTCATAGAATATCAGTGTTCCCTCCTTTCTATGTCATTAAAGTGTTTGAAGAGTACTGGTGAAAATTCTCCTTTAAAAGTCTTTTAGAATCCATCTGTAACTCCATCAGGTGCTGGGCATTTCTGGAGAGGGAGGTCTATTACTGCCAATGCAATTTCCTTGCTTGTGAATGGCCTGTTTATTTTATTAATGGGAATTTACTTTATTTATCATATATTATTGGTACTGTATAGTTGATATGTAGAGGGCTTATAGGTACATGAGTACAATTGTTTTTGAATCTTGTCTGTTCTTTCATCACTTTCTCCCTGTCTTTCCCACCCATATCACCCACGACATATCCAGTTCATTTTCTATATAGTTTCTTGTGAATATCACTGTTGCAATGGTTCACTGTATCCCTCTGTTTCTCTGATTCCCATTCCCTTCTCAGCTCACATAAACTTATATAGAAGAATATGGGGATTGAAATCACAGGAAATAAACCAGAGTAGAAACAAACCACAGACAAAAGTAATGTTCCCAGAAGTCTGACTTCTGGGAACATTACTTTTGTCTGTGGTTTGTTTATGTATCAGTTGACCAATTTTCTTCCTCTGAGAAGTCATTCTTAAGGTCTTTGGCCCTTTTATTGATTGGGTTGTTGACTTGGAAATTTTCATTCTGTGCTATTAATTTTTGAGATCTAGGCATGTGTTAGATATGACCCCTTTGTCTGACATAGAGCTAGTCAATTTTTTTCTCCCATTCTGTGGGCTATTCAAGTATCCTCCTAGCTAAGTCTCTTGTTATGCAGAATCTCTTCAGTTTAATACGGTCCCATTTATCCAGTCTTTCTTTGATTTGTTGTGATTCCAGATCATTGTTTAGAATTTTTACCATGATGCTATAAGTATTAGATGTTTCCCTAGTCCTTCCTGTAATATTTTCACAATGTCTAGCCTTACATTGAGATATTTGATCCATTTAGAGTTCATTCTGATGCAATGTGATATCTGGATATAAAGCCTCTGTTTTCTGTATGTAGATAGCCAATTTTGCCAGCAGTGTTCTTGTAAGAGTCTATCTTTCTTGGAAGCTCTGTTTCTGGGTCCATTATCAAATATTAGGTGGCTATATATTTGTGAGATTGTTTCTGTCTTTTGTTCTGTTTGATTGGGCCTGAAGCCCTGAAGTCTTTTCTTGTGCCAATACCAAAATGTTTTTATTACTATTGCTCTGTAATATTCAACTTTGGTATTGATCTTACTACAGCACTGTTCCTCCTGCTAAGAATTTTATTTTTGCTACTCTAGATCTTTAATTATTTCATATGAATTTCTCTCTTTCTTGGCAGAATGTTGCTGGGATTTTGATGGGTATTGCGATGGATTTGTATATTGCTCTGGACAGAATTGCTATTTTCATGATGTTCATTCTTTCATACCAGGAGCATGGGATATTTTCCCATTTCCTAAAGTCAGCTTCAATGTCTTTATAAGAGTTTTAAATTTTTTCACAATTTAGATCCTTCCCATCTTTGTTTAAGTTAATTCTTATGTATTGTTCTGAAGCTATTACAAATGACATTGCTTTCTTGATTTCAGTATCACTCTTCTCACTGTTGCCACACAGGAAGGCTACTCATTTCTGTGGTTTGATTTCATACCTCGAGTTTGTGGAGTATAGAGTGTGCTCATATTTGAAGAACTTATAGATTCCTCTTGTGAATACATTTAGCCTTGGAATTTTCATGAATGGGAGACTTTAGGTCATTTCAATTGCCTTGACTGTTATTGGCTATTAGACCACCACCTGGAACTAGTCATCCAAGGAAGGAGTCCTCTAGGAGGTACTCACAGATTCCAGAGTCAGTTTTGAGCTGAGTATCAGGAGTCTTCTTGAGGGGCCTCTGTGTCTGGATGTGGCAGTCTAAATCTCCTCTTCCTGTTTCTCCCTACCTGTACATGATAAGTACTTTAAAATGACCCAGAAGAAATATTTTTATTTTGCTGCTTATTTTACTTAGCATCAGCTTCTATGGTCATATATGTATATATATATATATACATATATATGTATATATATGACCATATATAAATATATATATGTATATAGAACTCTTCTGCTTGTCTTAGACATATACTAGTTATTGCAGAAAAGGGAAACTATGGGATCTATGTTTCTCTGAGTCTGCTTACTTCACTTGATGTAATTTTTCTAAGTCTTTGCATTTCCTAACAACTGGGGCAATGTCATTCTTTATGATGTAGTTATAAAATTCCATTTGTATATATATGTATATATAACATTTTTGATCCATTCATCTACTGTGGAGCAACTGGGTTGGTTCCATATCTTAACTATGGTGAATAATCCTATGATAAACATAGTTGTGCTGGTAGCTTTAGTATAGCCTTGTTTATGATTGTTTGGGTAAATGCCCAAAAGTGGGATTTCTGGGTCACACGGGAGCTCAATCTTCAACTTTTGAAAAACCTTTTTCATACATCTTCATTCTTACACTTTATTCCACCATATGTGTATGTACAGGCTCACTATTTTCTTCTGTTTAGAGCATTTAAAATATGACAGACTTTCATTGTGATCACTTCACATATACCTATAGTATATATTGAACATTTCATTAGTATACCCAATGTGCCTTCATTGTTTCCTTTTAAACAATTCCAAGTGATTTCATTATATTACTTTCTTTAGAATATGCCCACTCTCAAGCTTGCATGGAAATACACATAAACACACACAGACACTCACACATACCTTGTCGCACACAAACAGAACACAGAGAAAGAAGGAAAAGTACTTTGATCCTCTTTATTTTGCTCTATTGCTTCCTTTCCAGTCGCTAATTAAATATATTGCGAAGAGAGTATCGAAAAATGAATTTAACCATGGAGCCTTGGAACTGAGCTTTCTATTCAAACCTTACCTTCAATTTTTTCCTCAACCCTCATGCCATGAGTTTCTTATTTCAAATTGACTTCCTTGAAATTGGATGCATCCTTTTTGTTTTAGTATATAAACAAAAATTAAATCGCCACCCACAAGAGTTTAGCTCTTTTTCTTGTTATCACTGAGAACTATTCAATATGCTGGTCTGTGAGCAGAGCTTGCTATAGAATTATGTATAAATAACACTTTTCTTCTGAACATTGCAGTCAAATTAAACATTCCTTAGTTAGCCTGACATGCCAAATATATACATAATATAAATTGGGTGACTGGAAACACCAGAATCATTTTCCACACTGGTATAGCTAATTGCCCTAATGTAAAGGCAATACAACATTTGATGTCTCATGAAAACTGAATCAAAGACAGCAAAGCTTTTCTCTGGTGCTTGCGCTAATAGGAAAAACAAGCTCTCTCTCAACTTAAATAATTTTATGAATCTCATTTATGACAAATGCTCGTCATGTCTTTTGTAGATCTTTACACAAACATAAGACACTGCATTCACATTCAATTCTAACCAAGCATTTAAAGTATTAAAGTCTTAAGTTTTGAAATACTCCTCCTCAATTTCTTTGCTCATTATACAGCTTTATGTTCAAGAACTATCAGTTTGTTTTGGCCTTGGCTTTTGCTATTGAGGAGATCAACAAAAATCCAGATCTTTTACATAACTTGACTCTGGGATATGATATCTATGATGTTGAATTCAGAACTTGGACAATGTTTAAGAATCCCTTCACTTGTCTCTTTGGGAAGTACAAGACTCCAAACTACTCCTGCATTCGAGACAGCATGACTATAGCAGTACTTACAGGACCATCAGGAATAACATCTGACCAGATTGGGACATTGCTAGGACTCTACAGATTTCCACAGGTGAGGTGCAAACTGTGGAAGGATATAATAATATCTAATTTGGTGGCATTTCAGGTGATAGAAGAGAATGATAGGAAGAGATTCTTTTTATGAACCCATCCATTTTTGTAGTACCTAAGAGTATTTACTCAAATATAGTTGGAAATATATATTTGCACACTTTGGAAAAAGAAGATTTGAGCAGACAAATGGATAATTCACTGTTTCAATTGATAGCAATAATTTTCTTTAATGAATCAGGAAATGGAGAGGACTTTGCAGTGTACAGACTGAGCAAGGTACTGATGACTCACACTATAATCCTAGCTAATCAGGTAACTTGTATGTCTAATTAACCTGCAAAGGGCACAAGGTGAATATGTGACTCCATTGGTGCAGCACAAGTCTTAGGAATATTGCCAGTGAAGTACAAGAAGTCATGAATTTGTGCCCTTGTACTGGCATTCACGTACACACACACACACACACACACACTCACACACACAAAAGATACCATGATGAATGAAGTAAATCTGACATGAAACAAGAAAGGGTAAATGTGTCCTGTCTTATTTGAAAGTTAGATCTAAAATATGAACATTTAATATGAAATAAATATGGAAGATACACATAGCCACTTACACATATAGATGATCAATCTGACAAAAGTATGATATACATAGAGACAGAACTCCATGGTGGAATTTTTCTGATCTACTGACAGCATGATAAATGAACACCAAACACGTGAAGAAAATCTTGTCTGAGTGGGACAGGTGTTAAGGGAAAAATGCAAATGTATATGGAATCGGTTGTTGGTGAAAAAAAACATAATATAAAACGGGCATATGTGAAAACGGAATTAGGAGTAGGTGAGGTTGATATAGTTGAGAAGAGTTGATAGGAATAGTGTCGAGAGATAATTACAAATCAATTGATATGTTGTGCAAAAACAAAATATTTTTTTTCAAAACTGAAATAAAACCTACCTTCCATCTACTTCAACTGTTTCTTAACAGACTTCAAGACTAAGATTGTGATACATGACAATCTTCTCATTCATGGAGAGTCCAATTTTCTTTCTCTTTAGTTTACCTTTGGGCCTTTTGATCGTGGCCTGAGTGATCATAACAAGTTTCCTGCTCTCTATCAGATGGCCCCAAAAGACACACCAATAGCCACTGCCATGGTCTCCTTACTTCTTCATTTCAGCTGGAACTGGGTGGGACTATTGACCTCGCAAGATGAGAATGGTGTGTGGATTCTTGTTGAATTGAAAGAAGAGATGGCCATGAACAGAGTTTGTGTAGCCTATGAGCTAGTGATCTCATCCCAAGACACATCACATATATTCAAACTCATGGCAGTTCATAATGAGATAAATCTATCTTCAGCAAGTGTTCTCATCATATATGGTGATAATGATTCAATGATAGGTTTAGTGGTATTTATCGAGCAAATTTTTATACATGGCAAAGTTTGCATTATGAACTCACAGTGGGATTTCACATTGAAAAGGAGATATTTCATGCTAGGATCATTGCATGTACCTCTTATTTTTACACACCATTATGTAGATGTTTCTGGATTCACAGATTTTATCAAGGCAGCTAAGCCTTCAAAATACCCAGAAGACATTTTTCTTGCCAGACTGTGGTTTCTGTCTTTTAATTGCTCAGCTTCTGAGTCTGACTGTGTGACTTGGGACAACTGTGTTCATGATGCCTCTTTGGATTTGTTGCCTGTACATATTTTTGATATGACTATGTCTAGAGACAGTTACAATGTTTACAACGCTGTGTATGCTGTGGCCCAGACTCTCCATTCGATGCTTCTTCATCAAATAGAAGTTCAAACAATGGACAATAGAAAAGAAAAAGTGCCTTCCCCTGAACAGGTAATTTCTTCCATGTTGGAGAACACACTATGAGCAAAGGCACTTTCTAGAGGTGTTCCTTAATGTATGAAATTAAATATTTTTGTATGTATGCATGTGTGTTCCTGGATATGTATATGCATATATGATGTGTGTTTATATTCACAACTATATATGTATGTTTTTATTCTTATGTCACACATAACTTGGTTGCTGAAATTACTGAATATTTCAATATCTGAAATAATTCTCTCAACCCTTAAACTTTTTACCTTCTAGTATTAGAAACAACCATAAACACAAAAATTGAAAAAAATGTAGATTTACATTTTAAAAATTAAATGTTTCAGGTGTTTTTCAAAACCCTATATGATTCTTTGTTTCAGTGTCTTTGAAGTATTCTAGATATGTATGGATATGCTGTTAAGAAAACTATCTGCCAGTAACAAGGATAAAATATATTCCATCTTTCTATAAATTAATTTTGGCAAGTGCCTGAGTCTCTTTATGCTCAAAGCTAGTGCTCAACCACTTAAGCACAGCATTTTTCTGGCTTTTTCTGAATTGTTTATTGGAGACATGATTCTCATGAACTTTCCTGCCTAAGCTGGCTTCCAAGCATGATTCTGAACTGAGCCACCTGCATAGCTCGATTTACATCCATAAGCCAAGAGGAACTTGCTCATGAATTCCATTAGTTACTAATAACCTCAACATGTTCATAGCTAGTGTTTTGAAAACTGCAAGTAGAGCTTTTCCCTATGACTTTATTCAGTCAAATCATAGGATAACCAAATTAAGAAAAATTATCCATATTTTTATAAGTGACCAAGTTTCATTCAACTTTTGACATTAATCATCTAACAACCACAAATTATAGACATTCATATAGAACAGTGGTGTGTCCAGACGGACTAAAATGATTTCTCTGGAAAAAAGTCTACTACTTTTCTGAGTGATCAGGAAAGAAGTGATTATTTTTAATTCCTCCATAGATTTTTCTTCTGAGATACTTCATTGGGTGTCTCTACTCTTTTTAAATTCAGAATCAGAGATTAAAGGCAATCAGAAGCATTTCTTACTTCATGTTTTCTGTCTTAACTCTGGGATTCACTTAACCACAGATGATGTCTCTCTTTTAGCTGCACACTTTTCTGAAGAGCATCCAGTTTTACAATCCAACTAGAGCTCAAGTGATTTGGGACGAGAAAAGGAAACTGGAACCAGAGTATGACATTCTGAACATTTGGAATTTTCCAGAAGGTTTGGAACTTGCAGTGAGGATAGGCAAGTTTTCTCCATATGCTCCACATGGTAATCAACTGTCTTTATCTGAAGATATGGTAGAGTGGGCCATTGGAACTACAGAGGTGAGTTGGATCTACCCCAATAATTTTAAGCACACACAAATCAGCAAAAGTCACCCTTTGAATTTATACCTGGCTGAATGCCAGCAACTGTCTCCTATAATCCTACCAATTAATAGAGCATATGTGGAAATATAATAGTTTAGAGTCAGCTCAGACAGGAAAGTCTGTAGGAATTTGATCTCCAATTAACCTCCAAAAGTCTGGAAGAAGAACTGTGACTCTGGTAGTGGAAT